TACATTTTATCACCCATCTTCGACCACCCCATCCACTAAAGCCTTGCCTAGATTGATAAAAGAGTTAACATGATATCAAACAAGACCTAACAATGTTAGGTAATAAAATGACAATTACATCTTTGCCCCTGCTATAGACACAGGTTAACGCCTTTTTGCACATGTTCACTGGTTGTGATCTAGCCTCATGGGAAAATAACACAATTTCAACCACGGTTTATTTTCCCCAATCTATACAAGGCCTAATCCATCTCACTATGATTTATTCCAACCCCCGAGAAGATTCTTACAGCCACCATTTTAGACAAAAAAATCTGTCAGTGAAATGGTTCCTCCTCCTTTGCCCAAACCAATCTGGAAACTACATTATAACAATTCACAATAGATAATAAGCCACACTGGAACTAGTTGTTAATTGGTCTAATACATTAAACAAGATAGAAAACTCAATTTTGATTCATTTTGTGGGGTTTCCTGTGCAGAATCAATATAAATTTTAAAATTTAGCCACATTCTTCTATATTTCCCAAGCTGAGATTTGAACCATTCTAATAATAATCTACTGTCTTGGATAAACATTCAGAATCATTTTAAATATATTAATCGTCCTAGAAATAATTATTTACATTTAGTAACATAGCTAGTAATATAGTTTTATTTACATTAAGTGGAATGCCAGAAAATATTAACTGGATCTCGCTGTCCATTTATAGCTCATAGTAATAAAATACCTACCACATACAAAATAGTATAATCAGCAAAAAAATGAACTAAAGAACTTCATAAGATAGATATATACAAGAAAAAAATAACAAAGATGACTAAGAGATGTTAACTAGGTGGTTTGGGGAATTGGTAATGGGGAATAATAGAGCCTTTCGCCTTACAAGTAGTCTGAGTCATTTTTCTAATCTATAGGTGTACATATTACAAAAACATATAACTCCATAAACTACAACTAATTTTGGCCCTTTTGAAAGAATTCTATTAGCAAAGTATTGTATTAGCAAACTCCTGGATGCTGACTAAATAAAATAGTAAACTATAATACATTAAATAATAATAGTAATTGGGGTAAAAGGACAAATTTGTATTTTGTGCCATTTAGTGCTATTGTGCCAGTTTGTCACCAGGTGACCAATTTAAAAAAAATAAACCCACTTTTGAAAACTACAAATGATCATGGGCTGTTGATTAGTGCGGAGCACATCCAGACTGGTCAGGTAGGGAAAAAGCTTTTCAACGGACAAATCTAAACAGATAAGACATTTTTTTTATAAGGATTAAAGAGTGAAACTTAAATCTCTCTGTTAAGCCTCTTTCCCCCTCTCATTTGGCTGTAAATAAAAAAAATAAATCAAAAATTCTTTAATTTGTCTTGCTATTGGGTTCACATATTAATATTACCCATGACCTCACCCAGCAGTCAGGATAAGTAGCAAAATTTATTTAAATTTATAAATTCCATGTTATCACTCCAAATATACCTGGGTACCTGCAATGGTGTTTATTTTAAGCTCTTTGAAAAGCAGACCACTTGAGATGAGCTACTGCATACTTCTCCATGCAAATTATGTGCATATATAAATGTACCACTGTCTCGTATTATAAGTCTTTAAAGATCAGCGTCACTCTCCAGACTTTGGGGTTTGTGATATTGAAGCTTACATCAACAATTAAAGGATGTCTGATTTCTTCATACTGAGTGATGTAGCAACAGATGCCAAAATATGGGGCCCAGATCCTAGTGTGATTCGTCACTGTGACCTACGTCATCACATGATGTTATTTCTGCTCCTTGATTGGTTAATTCCCAAACCCACAAAGAGTTTTCAGAATCACTGTGTGAATGCTTCTGGAGTGAACACTCAAGCTAGTCTACACAAGCGCTGTGCCACTGTAGCACGTCTGGTGAAGACACTCTATGCCGACGAGAGAGCTCCCACCTCTATGAGAGGCTCTCCTGTTGACATAGCACTGTCCACACCAGCGCTTAGGTCAGTGCAACTTACATCACTTAAGCTGAGCGACATAAGTGGTGGTGTACAAGCCCCCATACAGTTACATATTTGCACAAGTATTTGTGACATTTTAACTTTAATTGAATGCACTTGTGGATAAAACCTAGTTTACCTGAATGTTTGCAAATGACCATAAGATTTCCCGCAAATAGTGTGTCAACACTAAAGAAACTGACTGTACTAAGAAATGTGTGTCACTTTCCCGATCTGGAAGATACTTACTTCAAAAGGGTTCTGTGACGATTAGTAACTTGATATTTGGAGAGCTCTGTGAAGATGAAATGTGGTATATAAGTGCTAATTGTCATTATTTATTAATCATACATGTAATGGGTTTGTGAACAAAGTCTTTCTGCGGCCCTTTGAAAATTTACTGCATCATGTTCAGCATTATCTCCCACTGCATTGTCAAAAAATTATAAGCTTCACAGCCAATGTATGCAACTTGTGTAGACTGGCTGTCTGAGCAAATGGCATGTCTTTGTTTTGGCATTTTAACTTAGTATTTACATTCTGCTTTTCCTGTTGAAAGCACTTTACCAATGGCTACTTTTGTATTTGCTTTCTGTATCAATGTAAATACCTGTTTCTTCCACCATGCAAAACAATTGCTTTCTAATTGGAATGGGCAGCTTTCAGAACAAATTAAACTAGCCTAGTGCATCAGAAAACTAAAGAAATTGTGCTATGAAAGGAAAGACAGAGATGACTTTTTTCCTCTCCCTTTGTAAACATCTCCACCTGCTCTCCCATTTGCCGGGCTGTTTTAGGAGTTGTGCATTCAGTATTATGGAACTTTTGCTATCAGCTATTCAGTAAGAATTTTAGCATAGGAATTATCTAATTACAACCAAGAAGTTCCAGTGGTGGTATTTATACTGGCAGCTGTGGATTGTCCTTCAGCTACTGGGAAAATATTTGTTCCAATACAGCAGAACAACAGTAAGTGATGTTTTTACAGTAGTTCATAGGGTTAAAAATTTGAGAGAGCACAACTGGAACAATTGGATGGGACCTTCTCAGACAGACTGGAGCATATGTGCAGGGTAGAGTGAGTAATCTGTGGGTAGCGATGGCAGCACAATAAGGATGCTGTATTAACTTTTTTTATGTAACATAAATCTGCTCAGCCTGAGACCTCGTGTACCAATACCAAGGCTTTGTTGTAGGATGTGTGTCCCCTTTGGCTTCACTTTCCCAACACTGTCATTCCAAATGCACAGTTCTGCTTTCCGTGACAGGATTCCCTGGACCAGTATCAAACCATATTACTGCCAAACAAATTATCAGCGCTAAAGTGGTGGCCAAAAGTCCCCACTCACTCCGTGGATTTCAGTCACCCTGTGTGCAGTGATTCACCAACTTTTAAAAATCCATAGTTGGGATCTTGACAAATGCTTTTTGCAGAGTAGCAGACATCATCATTCTATGAACAAATAGTATCACAGCAGTGAAATCATACATGCCAGAAAGTGATTCATGCTTTCAACTTTATTTCCATTTCCTTTATTTGAACCCAGCAGTGGCAGGCATTTAGCTTTTGACATTTTCGACTAACACACATCTCCACGTTGAATTCATTTTATTAATGAGAGACAAAAATTTCCTAGGGAGAGCGCTACTAATTTGGACAAGTCACGCAAGTAATTCCACAATTACTTGATTCTTTTTTGCTGTTGCTAAGCTTCTTTTTGCCTTGGTGCCCTAGGTTTGACTCCCCATTGCCTGAACCAAAGGGAAATCAAGGCAGGATTCTTTCTGGGGATTGACAGGATGAGAGAATGTGGCTCTGCTCTGCATAACTTTTTCCTTTAATTTCCTCTATGTTGTAGTTCTCACTCTCAGTGATCTTCAGTACCTTGATCTAAGATCAGAATCATGGGACCAAGCAGCCATTCACAGATTCTCCTCACCATAACTTTCAACCTCCAAGACCAAGATGTGAGATAAAAACCCAAACTGCTGTGTACAATAAAAAATAGAAGAGCCAGAATCTTGTAACAATTGGGAATTTTTTTTTCCTTTCCCTTTTATAAAGTTTTCTAAAATCCCAGCCTTAAAAGTTCCGATCTGAATAATTTATGGAAGCAGGAAAATAACAGCAGGTTTGTGTGAGGCTGAATTAGATGGGGTCCAAAATGAGTGACATACCTTGTAATGAAGTATAGTTGACAGGTCTGCTCTTTGTACCAGCCCATTCATCCAGCTGAGGGACTGCCCCCTAGGCTACTAAAATACGGTCAACATTTCAAGGAATGATGATCTAAGGTCACTCCAAAACATGAGTGGCTGCATGGAAGTCAGACACAGCCTTAGGTTATATGAGGCCTTAATGGTGTAACTCCATCCAGCTCACTTCCTGCCTGTGGCTGGTCCCCTATTCACTGCTCGTCCATCATCCCCTTCCACCAAGTTGCCATCCAAGCACAAAGGCTACTGAGGTATATAGCTAACTGGCCAGCACAACAGGCGTGCAGGAAGCGAAGAGAGAGAGGAGACATTTGGAGAAGAATTCTCATGTTGACTGCATCATACTTACCTGGGTGACAAATGGGGAATGAACAAAGAGGCTGAATAGGGAGGAATGGTTACAGCATGCTAGACTGGATAATACATTTAAGTCCCTTTTACTGGAGTTGACAACTATTTAGCAGTGTGGTGCACGGTCCCTTGATATGCAAATTCCTATGTAACAGTGGAAGTAGCCTGGGTAAGGCTACCACAGTGAAGCACTGAGTGGGTTAATTAAAAATCTCCTTAACATTCAGAAGTAAAACTGATGTAAAAGCATGAAGAAGCCAGAATTATTTGGGTTTTTAATTAATAATTTTTCTGTCACCAAACCAACATCCTCTTGACCGATGTCTGAATCAATTTCAGAAACTTTTAAACATTTCTTCTATTGCTGTTGGTTTTTTTAAAAACACAGATTCTGCTATCCTTACATGCAAAATAGTGCATAGATTATAATGTTTCCTTTCATACATACAAACCCCAGTAAAAAAAGTTGAATACAATATACACAGTGGGAAATATAATCCTGGAATACGTGTCAATGACGTGATTGTTCTGCAAAATAATCCTGCCCACATTTCCTTTCAAGGATCTCTTCCTTTTTATTCGGGTTGCATCCAGGTTGGGGATGCTGGCTGCCCGTCCCCGGGCTGAGCTCTCTTCTGAGTGGACCACAAAGGTGGTCATATCAATGTCAGCCTCATTGTCATGATAGCAGCCATCAAAGGCCATTGCTTGTACTGCATCAATGTTATACATTCCTGAAACCTGGCAACAGAAAATTATTGTGTGAGTAAGCAGCAGCCATTGGAGTGCTAAATAATGAAGCTCTATCCACTGAATAATCATCCACATGGAGGCTCTGTCTGCTAATGGCTGTGCTGGATGGAAAAAAATGTGGCTACCTCATAACATGAGCAAATGAATACCTACTTGTGGGATTTGTCTAGTATCAGCAGGGCCATGTTAGCTACAGCTAGGAGAACACCTCATAACATTTTCTATGAATATTCTCTTGAATAAAACAATGAATTCACTAGAGCTATATGAGCCCCTTTTATGTGTTCTCCTCCCTCGGATTATCTACCGAATGAGTTTCCAGGTGGGAATGTTTGTGGGAAAAGGCATTTTAAGTGAATATTAGAAAGATTAATGGAAAGCAATTTTTTTAACTTGTCAATGTGGTTATTCACATTAGAAATCTGATTCTAAGAACCAACACAGTCACTCATCACACCAGGAAATAGAACCAGGCCATGTGACCTCTCTCTCCAATCAAAAATCACTAAAAGTAATTGGGGGAAGGGAGAAAGGAGAAAAGGCCTTTCCTCTTCAGGAAGCAGGAGTAGGAAGACCCCACTGGCCATCAGGATGTGGGAGGATCCCATCCCACTCAGGATCCCAGAATGAAGAAAGATAGGGGCCCTCAATTACCAGGAATGGGGAGAAAGAGTTGATGGAGACCTTCCCTCTCAACGACCAGAAGGGGCAGAGAAAGCATGGACAGACTCTCACTCCCACCTCCCCAGGAGAGAAATATAGGTATGGAGTCCCCTTATCTTCTCCCACCAGAAGAACAGGGGAGAGTAGACCTACTCAGGATCCAGGAGAGGGAACGTACCTTCCCTCCCATCAGCCAAGAGGAGGAAAGAATGGATAATCAATTAGTCACTGAGCAGAGACAAACATAGTCACAGCACACACGTCACAAAATGCAATGGCATGTTGCTGTATTCGGATTACTTTGTGGCTTCTGTGAGGCTGTCTGACGACAACAAAACACACACGTTTGTACCTTCCCTCTTTTTTTGAGTTGTTTTCTCTCTTCTGCTGTGGTGAGATAATTCACAGCTGCATATTCGATGACAGACAGGAAGACAAAAAGAAAACTGATCCATAAGTATACATCCACAGCTTTTATGTAAGACACCTGAGGCATTGAGGCACTTACTCCTGTGATTATGGTTGACATGGTCAGCACAGTAGTTATACCTGCCAAAGACAGAAGTGATTAACACAAAAGATCCAATTGTTTTTATTTAACTGGCCACCAACTGCTTGATCAGAAAGATTTGTGGGTGCAACCAGTCGATCCCCCTTTTCAACTCTTTGTACAGGCTATGAAATGTGGGGTGTACCATGAAGGGCCATTTTACAGGACCTACCAAATACACCACCAGATTCATTAGGTCACCTCTGTGTTCATTCTATGGGAAATTTGATGGTCACATAAAGGGCTACAATGTGCCTAGTCCTAGCTCTGCATGAGTGTGAACAGAGAGGATGCTACTTGTGATTCCATGTGAGGTCCAGGAGAACCAAGTACCAACATCAGCACTAGAAAATGAGTAAGAACTGGAGTGAAGACAGGGCTGTGGTCAGCACACCTAGGCTGGTGCCAGGGACAATGTGTCCAATGCATCCTGTTAAAAGTTGCAGAAGATGCCACCGCTGTGTGTGCTGGGCCTAATTCATTTCTCATTGACACCAGCGAACATCAAGATTAAATCAACTGAAATCAATGGAACTACATCAGTGTAAAACCAGCATAAGTGAGGGGAATATTATGCCTCTGGGAGCTACTACTGGAGCAATATGCTTTCCTATTCTCTTTCTCACTCACTCCCTAAGCACAGCCAGGGCCTTAAAAACCACAATCAAGCCCAAACAATTTCCCCAAGAATTCACTTTAGAAATTAGGAAGGTATTTTTTAGATTACTATGGCAGCTCCTTGACAAGCAGGTAGGAGGAGGGATCCCCCCCACTCAATTCTAGCAACTGAGAAGAGAACCAAGAGATTCATTGTGTTGTACAATGACATTATGTCATGTAACATCAGTACAGTGTGAAGTGTCGTGATGGCACATCATTGTCCCACATTGACTCAAAGGAAAAAATAACACAACAGGACCTTGTGATCTAAGCTACATCTCTGCAACCCTATGTGGTGAAGTGATTCTCCAGCTGTTAAATACCGAGTGCCGCCTCTCTTTATTTTGGGTAGTGCAATGGCTACAATGGAAATGACTTAAAAGGGATGGGGACTGACTACATAGGAATTGCCATATCAGAACAGACCAACTGACCTTCACAGACTGATATCCTCTTTCCAATATATAAATTCACATATAATTTAAAGAAAGAAAACTGGTAACTTGCTAACTTCAGTAGAGCACAGTTTATCAACATTTTTAGATCACCTTTTGAGACTTTCAAGATTTTTTACTTTATTCAAAATAATGCATGATAGTTTTCCCATACATAAAGAGAAACAGGAGTTTCATTTATAGCAGTAGACAGGATATCTCCTAACAACTTTTCTTAGACCAACAAATAATTTATATCTTATCTTCTTATATATTATAAATTTTGATTGTTCCAATAAAAAGGAATCGCATTCTTTACAGGTCTCCTTTTTCCAGGATCAATATGGCGACAGAAAAACATTTTCTTTAGTAGCTCTAACTCCAGTTGATGTTGTTATTTTACACTAGAGTTCTCAAAGTTTTCCCTTGTCTGAGAAGTATGACAAAACAATCAGTTTCTGAGATCAAAGATGCTCTGATAGTAAGAATGAATAATGGGAACGCCACCATTAATTCTTAAATCTATAGCAATGGGACTTGGAAGCATTACAGGTACATTTGATAGAGCAATATGTCTCTACCAGATTCTCAAAGAGATGTTAATCTTGGGGAAAAAACTGTATTAATTCCCAGGCCATTAGTGTTAATCTCCCATCAAAGACAGAGGTTTGAAATGATCTCAAGTGATCAATAGCTGAAGAAAATTATCATGTTATAAAAAGTGACTAGTTAGTTTCTTATACACCCAATCCTGTGAGTGTTGAATCCAGAAGGGTGCATAGGTCAGGCCTTTACTGAGCAAAGTGTTAAGGCACCAAACGCAAAATTTTCAAAAGCACTTAAGTGACACAAGAGCCTAGGTCCTATTTTCAAAAGTGACTTAGGCACCAAGGCTCCGATGTGATTACCTGCATTGTTAGGCACCTAAATACCTTTGAAAATCTGGTCTTAAGCAGGTTAGACACCTAACTTCCATTGATTTCAAGGAGGGAGTTAGGCACCTAGTGGGATTTTCAAACCACCAAAACAGGTTAGGTACCTATCTGAATCTTTAGATGCCTAAATACCTTTGAAAATCAAGCCCTAAATACCTATGTCAACTTTTGACAATGAGACTTAGGTTCATAAGTAACTTAGGCACTTTTTAAAATTTTACCCCATGCATTTTAATACAACAGAACCTTTAGAAATGCAACATAACCCAACTCTAAATGATAGAATCAAAATATTAAACTGCCTCACAGCACTATTCTATAGCACTTACAACATCGCTGAGAAATTGCTCGCTTTGTGTGTGGAGGGAAATCATCCCTTTCCTAGAGTCCACACACAGGGACTCCTGTTTATGCACAGATCTCCATCTCCTATAGGGGGAGTATGATGTCAGCGGCCTCTGGGGCACTGGCGGCTGCCCAGGAATCCACTGAGAATCTTGCATGGATTTGAGGATCCATACAAGTGTTGGAGGTGGGTTCGGGCCAGGCTGGCATGCATATTTTCCTCTCCTCCACTCCAAGTCCATATTACCTTTTCCTCAGCACTCCCTGCTCCTTCTGCATTACAGAACATCGCCTTGTGGGGTGGGGAGGCGAATGGCTTTCCATGGGCATCTGTCAGAGGGATAAGTCCTGGCAGGACAGCCGCATTGGGAGCCAGAAGGTGGGGGGAAAGGTCAATGGGCCCCTGAGCTAGTGCAGAAGCACAAGGCCTCCACATAGATAGCCCCATGCCTCCTGAATATTCTCCCCTCCCCTCAAAATTTGCAGGACTTGGGGGGCCAGACTGCCTGCTTTGTCCACAGAGGAGCAAATTGATTCTTCGTGACAGCTGCATTTAAATGAAATTCCATGAGGGGAACCACAGACAATGCCTCTCCCTCTAGTGCCCCCTCACACGTTTTGTAGTACAATAAAACTGATTTGTGGAGTGCAAAATTCCCCCTTTCCAAGGGCAGAGGATGTATAAAGGAATGGATATGTGAGGATACAAAAACAGAGGATACAGACTAACACGGCTACCTCCTGATACTTGATATGTGAGGATGACAATGATGCTGTCACTCAGGCACCCATCTGATACGTGGCCACATATACACTGCAATCAGAACCCAGTTAAACTACCTAAAGCCCTCTTCCCTCTCCCTCCTATCCCTCTCCAAGACTAGATTGCAAAAAGGTTTACCCAGTGATACCCTGGCAGGAACAGCTCTTCTGTCAATCCAAAATGAAACCCAGGACAGCATCACCATCAGCATAGCTGGGAAATAGGATTGTAGCACAAAAAAGAAAATATGCCTTCTTAGGGCGAAGTTTATAAAAAGGCGGTTGTACCAACCTGTTGAAAGAAAGAGAGCAGCGAAAAAAAGAGATCAATGTTTTCATAAATGTAAGCACTCTTCTGACCAATCTCTGCTTTCCACTTTGCTTGCCCCTTACATTATATTAGTATTCTAAGGAATAATAAATAAATAAATAAATAAATAAATAAATAATAATGCCTTCATTTTATGTCATGACTTTCATCTCAAAGTGCTTTACAAACTGTTATCCACCCACCACTAAAATGGAGCTATGTCTGGAGTGAAACAGTACAGCTGTTTAAAGGTGCAGAAAAATACTACTTTACAGTTGAGGACAGAAAATGAAAAAAATGTAAACTGAAACCTCTGGGAGAATACAGGCAGGCAGAATATATGTTTCCAAAATGGAATTTGGCTGGGACAGTGAGACCGACATCCCTGCTCCCATGAAAAGTGGCATGAGGTCTTTTATTGCTGCAAATGCTCAAAGTTGTTTTATGTTACAACAGTATGGTTCCTTTTCTAGCACCAGGCATGGATGCTAGTTTAGAACTGATTTCAGAGAGAAGAGAGTGCCAACCACTGAATTACCAGGGTGACATTCTGCAGCACTGGACGCTCAGAGTTTAGAGACACATGGTGGGTGAGGTAATATCTTTTATTGCACCATCTTCTGTTTAGTCATAGACAAAGGAGGGTTAGTGGGTTATAGATTGTTGCAATGAGCCATAAATCCAGTGTCTTTATTAACAGAGGGGTAGCCGTGTTAGTCTGAATCTGTACAAAGCAACAGAGGGTCCTGTGGCACCTTTAAGAGTAACAGAAGTATTGGAGCATAAGCTTTCGTGGGTGAATGATGAAGTGGGCATTCACCCATGAAAGCTTATGCTCCAATACTTCTGTTAGTCTTAAAGGTGCCACAGGACCCTCTGTTGTCTTTATTAAGTCTGTGATTTTTAGTGTCTAACAAAGTTCTGAATGTTAGCTCCCAGGCTCATCTTTTAAAGGTGTTGTGCAGATTTCCTTTGAGGATGAGGACTGATAGGTCAGATATGGAGTGATTGTTTTGTGAAAAGCATTTGCCCACAGGTGACATGGCGTTTTTGTCTTCTATCTGAAGAAGTGAGGTTTTTACCCACGAAAGCTTATGCCCAAATAAATCTGTTAGTCTTTAAGGTGCCACCAGACTCCTTGTTGTTTTTATCATTTTCTGTGAGAGCTCATTCAGGAGGATACCGATTGTCTCATTTCACCCACATAGCTGTTATGGAGGCATTTAGTGCACTGGATGAGGTACACCACATGTGATAGGCATGGGTAGCACCATGGATCTTGAATGGTGTGTTGTGGGTGGGTACTGGTCATCTTAGCAGAGGCGATAGGTCTGCAGGTTTTGCATCTTTTGTTATTGGAGGGTCCGGTGCACAGTGCTGCTTTGAGTTGGTGGGTCCTGGTTTGTGGGGAGCTTGGTTCTGATGATGAACTTAGGGAGGTTGTTTGAAGGCCAGAAGTGGGGGTTCAGGAAAGATTTTTTTCAGGATGGGATCCCCATGAGTAATTGTTTAAAGATACCCCATATGGGTTCCAATGCGGGGTGATAGGTGACAACTAGTGGTGTGGGTTTTTTTATTTTCATATTCAAGCAGGTTCTCCTTTGTTCTAAGACTGCAGAGGTGTTAACTTCCCACTTCACCTGGAATAGTCTCTTACAACACATTAACTCCTTATGCTAAACAATCTGTCCCACCTTGTATTTAGCTGTGATACGCCAAGTATCTTTCCTAGACCCGAAGAAGAGCTCTGTGTAAACTCGAGAGCTTGTCTCTTTCACCAACACAAGTTGGGCCAATAAAAGATGTTATTTCACCCACTTTGTCTCTCTAGTATCCTGGGACCAACACAGCTACACTACTAGGAACAACAGTGAATTTAGAGTACAGAGTGAGGTTAAAAGAAGACAGAAATGGCTGGAAAGCCAGAACCTGCCTTTGCAGTGAGAATATAGGCATGAATGAGATTGTAGAAGAACACTCGTGCCAGTTTAAAGAGCTTTTTTAGGAATGTATCACCTGATAATAACAAACCAATCTAAAATTAAACATAGCCTACATGGTTTTAGCCTGGGATAGGATTTTTATTTAAAAAAAAAAAAATTTCTTCAGAACTATGGTCCAGACTGGTTCCTCCTTTGCGGAACCCCTGGGGAGGGGAAAGAGAGGCAGGAGAATTCTGAGAGCTTTATTTCATGGAGTTCCTTGCAAAATGTTCCCGACTTGGGGAGAATTTAGAGGATGGTGAAGTGAGGAAGGAATGAGGACTTCCAAACCGGTGGATAACGGGGATCTACAGGAAAGGACAACCCAGATCTCTGTCGGCAGGAGATGTCCAGGGGTATGTCTACACTGGAGCTGGGATCCAGACTCCCAGCGTGGGGAGACAGACTCACAATAGCAGGGCAGAAGCTAGTGCACTAAAAATAGCAGTGTGGATGCTGCAGTTTGAATTCTCAATCCCACCTGACCCGCTAGGCTTGAGAGCCTGAGTGGCAGCCCGAGCTGCAACTTCCACATAGCTATTTTTAGCACATTAGCTTGAGCCCTGCTAATGCAAATCTGTCTACCCAGGCTGAGAGGCTCGCTCCCTGCTGCAGTGTATATGTACCCTATAGGACCAGCTTCTGTCTCTGTTCATCAGTCCTCTGGCCCCTCCTGCCAGGAGGGCTCCTATCAGAGTCACACCACCATTGGTATCCCCCTGCACTTGCTCAGTAATGTTATTAGCTTAAGAGGAGCTGTTCTGCATTTAATAACCATCTTCCATGAGAAAGGAAAGGAAAAGAAAAAAATACAGCATCCTATAATAAATTCCAGGCAAAACAAAGCTAAAGTGCAGTTATATTCTGACAAGTGACTACAAGAAAAAGGCCCCATTTTACTCAACAGATTTGCTCCTTGTGTGTATTCAGTCATATCTCATTGATTTCAGTGACAAAAATACACCTTTCCTGCTTTTAATTATTTTACCCTGCAGAGCCAGCACTTCATAAACACGTGTGTTTATTAAGTTCCAATCAGTTACACCTTTGCAAACTCACTGCAGACCAGGGGTTTGCACAGGTATCACTGATGGCCTGATCTAAAGGCAATGAAGTTGCACATGTGCCACTGAGGGCCTCATTTGTCCTGCAGAACTTTTATTAAATGATGAAGGTGAATGAGGTGAAAATGACCCAGCTTGACTTTCAGAGCCCAGCCTCACTGTGGGGTGCCAGCAGTAATGGAAGAAACCCTCAATCTTTCTCCTAGTAAAATGAGCACAATGACGTGGATATCAGTGAGGTGCAACAAACGTGGAGCTCCCCACTGACATTCACATGGACATTTTTCAGGTTAAAGATGCTCTTTAAATCTGGAATTCTGCCTTTAGCTTATACTGTTTTATGTCACTTTTTCACAAGAGCCAGAGCTAAGGATGAAGTGTCCGTGCAAACTGTGAATTTTTCCAAGTTTAGCTAGATGGCATCACAACCTCAATACTAGTTACAAATATTGCTGAATTTAATAGCAGATATTAAAGTGCAAACATTGCAGTTTTAAATGAATTTTATCTAAAGGTTAAAAAGAAGCTCTCCTATAAATAAATCTATTTGCAGCTTTCCTGCATGTCTTAAAGCCTTTTATTAAGCTTTATGCACATCACCATACTACATGAAATCACCTCTACTCCATTAATAAGCTCTGATAATTGAGGAGCAACATACTCACTGAAATGAATTGATTCACAATAGATACTATAGCACACGCAGCATGCATATTATTTTTACCAGTTTTAAAAAATACTGTCACTGTATTTAGGTACAGAAGTGTTTCAGTATTTCGGATCACATGCACAATATACAGAAGATAAAAAACAGCCGTGGATGAATTCATGACCATAATACTCTCAAAAGGTCCTGAACTCTTTTCAGGTTATGAATAGTGCCAGAACCACAAGAGGAAATTAAGACCCATATTTTGGGGCAGATATTTATATTGAAACAAGATTGCACTGGGGTCTCCATAAATATTTTTATGATGTAGAGGAGGGATTTTCCTCTGAAACTTTTTGTATAAACATGAAAAATTTAGTGAGCAATTAATGCTGAGTTAGAATAGTTGTTAGTGCTCTGCATACCCGTTCCTTGAGGTCAGCTGTGCTGTGGAGGCATCATGATTACTGGATTGTTTTCGCAACATTTCACAGCTAGCATTCAAAATTCATGAGTCAGGCCCATAGAGCCGTAAGATTTTGGAAAAAGAATAGATTTGGGGTTCTTTTTTTTTGGCCTTCTAGGTTTTGAGCCTTCTGGGTTCATATTTTCAAGCTTTTTCTCTGCAACCAAGAGGGCTAGAAACTTACTTTATCAAAAAAAAAAGGGGGGGGGGAAGCTGAGATCCTCCTGTGATCACCTGGCCTTAAAAAAAGGACCAAATAGTGCAAGAGCTGGCAACACTGCTACTGCTCTACATGCCCCCTTTCTACAGGGTCTTCTTTAGAGACCAGTATTTTAGATACTATATGGCACCTCAGTGTTATACAGACCGCGTATTACATATGTAATGTAATTCAAAAAAACTGGGAGCCAGAGTGAAGACAGATCCATTGTGAGCAAATAGATCAGTCAGTTTATAATTCTAGGTTTCTTAGTGGAAATGATAATGCTCATCATTGTCTATTAATAGTAAAATAAAATGTAAAGTATATGCTGTATGGTTGAGCTAGGTGTTTCTCTTCTAATGCCAACAAGCATACTATACCAGTACTGCTGTAGAAAGCTAGTCCACTAGAAGCACTGAACTCTTCAATGAAAAACTGGGAAAGGGAGATCTGCTCATCCGTGGTCAGCGACTCATTCCCATGTTTCCAGTACAGCATCAGATCATCTTCATTATAAGCATCTAAGAAAAAATAAAAGCTAAATTACCAACTCTGCTAGGCTGAGGCTTCCACTTGTTTCATCGGGGACAGCACCTTAACTCAAGCTGGTCGGAAAAATTTCAGCGAAACATTCTTGTGTCGGAATTTGCCAGTTCATCGACATCTAAATGTTTCACAGGGATTATTCAATTTTGACAAAGTTCTGATGGAACCCAGCCAGAGTCGCGATGGAATCCTGCCTTTCCTTCCAGCTCAGCAGCACTGGGACCCTACAGCTTCCAGGATCTGCAACTCTGGGGCAGCCCAGCCAGCAAACTGCCCCAGACCTGGGACTCCAGTCCCTTTCACAGAGAATTTTGAAATTTTTGCTTTTCAGTCCAAATCAGAATGAAATCATATTTTTCAATATTGAAATTCTCTGCAAAATGGAATTCCCTTTCTCCACCCAGCTCTACAGCTTCTATAGTCCTTGGTTAGGGGTGGGCAAACCAGGCCAGGTGAGAAAAAAATTGCCCCTGTAAAATATAAACTATTTGACAGTGGCAAAACAAACAATTTTTTTAAGGCTTGAAAAAATTCAGTCAGTTGATTCCTACATTCTCTCATTTTTGTGTGTCTTTGCTCTCTCTTTTTTCAGCCTAGTCCATAAAGCAGAAGTTTCACAATGTCACAAGAGACCACATTCTAAAGTCATTACTCAATTTTAACTTGGTCCTTACTCAGGTAAAATTCCCTTCGAAGTCAACAAGATTTTTGACTGAGCAAGGACTTCAGGATTTGGCCCAGGGTATTTCCAACCTAGCTGGAACCAGGAGCAAGCAACAGTCTCATGAGAGTGGCTTTCTTGTGATAACCAAAGGAGTTCAGATACATTTTGGTAATTATTTGAACTTTTGAGGCTTATCTGTAGTAAAACCTTTGCAGCAATTCTCCCAACACTGGTTTGGATTTGAATCTTGGCTATGGAAATGTACAAGATGCACACAGTGAGCTCACACTTGGGATGGGGAAAACCTCTGCTAATTGCTGCCTAAGGGACTGATCCCATAACTACTCCATGTACAGAACTCCCATTGAAGTTAAGGTAATTCAACATGTTTCGCAGCTGCTGGATTGAACTCTAAGGGACTGCTCCTACACTCACTGAAATCAATGGGAGGTTTGCCATTGATTTCAGCATGAGTAGATGCAATGCTGGCAGACCAGGTGCCAGCTCCTGCCAAGACAAATTCATAGCCAGGAACCAGTTTGTATTGTTAAAACAGATATTAGAGTTAAAAGAATGTGTTTAGACTTTATGAAATGCTGGTAGGACGCTGCATGTATTACTCTTACTTATAATATCTGTATACCATGTTACAGGGTAATATTTATGTGTTTGCTCTGTAACTACAAAAATGTTTGCTAAGGGCAAGTCTATGCTTAAAATGATGTGCCGCTGTAGGGCTTTAATGAAGAGAGCTCTCCCATCAGCATAGTTAACCCACCTCCCCAAGAGGCGGTAGCTATGTTGACGGGAGAAGCTCTATCGGCGACATAGACATAGAGCTGTCTACACAGGGGGTTAGGTTGGTATAACTGTCACTCAGGAATGTGGATTTTTCACACCCCTGAGCAACATAGTTACACCGATATAGGTCTGTAATGTAGACCAGACTTAAGCCTGTAAACCTCCATAGTCAGGAGAGAAGCATTACAAATACTAGTTTACCACAAGAGGTGTCATCTCCTCCCCAACAAAAGAAGGCCTGTAGACACCAGACACACCATTGTGGAACATCGGGGGACAAAAAAAGACTTTGTTAATTGCTTCTCTGACACCCATGAAGAGGGTACGTCCACAAGCCCTCGTCCCATCACAGCTTGAATGCTGGGGGAAAGGAATAAAAATCCCTGTTAAGAAGAAATTATCACCACTATGCTGCTTAGAATTTGGAGAGAGCAATACTTCTACGCATAAGCAAGAGATTCCCAAGAGGTTTACTTTGGGTTAGCCCTAAAGGACATACAGAGCTTGTATATATAGCAGCTACTATTAGCTTTTGGAAGCCTAAGACTGTAACTCATTTGTGTGTGTGTGTTTACCTTCTTTAACCTTGTAAATAACTCTGATTTCTTGTTCCTAGTTAATACACCTTTTAGTTAGGTTATTACAGGATTGACTACAAGAGTTGCCTTTGGTGAGAGATCTAAGGTACAACTAACCTGGGGTAAGTGACTGGTCCTTTGGAACGGGGAATAACCTGAATACTGTTGTGATTTTTAGTGTAGGGGATCATCTATCACAAAGGCAGGCTTGCCTGCCTGGCAAGCTAGACCAGAGTGCCCAAGGTTGTTACAGTGCTTAAGGAGTTCACGCTTGATATTTGGTTGGTGAAATCTAATTACAGAACACCAATTTGGAGTTTGTGCTCTGCTTCTTCACAGTTTGCCCTGAGGTTGGCACCCATGTTCATGAGCCACTTCGGGCAACCTGACAGTAGGTTCAGGCCTAAATCGGCTCTAATGTCTGGCTACCATTATCAGGCATAACATTCGGTGCTTGTACCATAGAGACTGCAGTTTGTATGGTTTTTACTAATCACCAGGAGAACAAGATCTAGAAGCCTTTGTATTCTGTTATTCACAGATACTTGCAGATAACCTTTAAAAATGAATTATGCTGAAGGACAAATGACTCCATCTTTCAACATACTATTCTCCATGCCTAAGAAGTAGGCAGAAGCATCTTTACCTTTCTTGTTTTCCAAAAATATTCAGTGTTCTGGGGGGGTTATTCCCAAGAGTCCCCAGAAAGGCCAGTGTTCTGTATGTGTAGACTGAAAGGCTCAGGTCACATATCTTCCAAAGTAAGTGTAGAAAGTCATCTAGCAAGGGGGAATTACTATGACAAAATGAAATGTGGGTAAGGACGCACATATAATGAATATATATGGTACCATGATTGAGTCAAACTTACAACTTTCCAGTTCTAGAGAGCAGTTCTGAGTGTCCAGAGGGAATCGGCTGAAATCCATAAAACACATGGAAGAAACTGTAATCCTACAATAAGGACCAGAAAACAATTGTTGAAGAGAATTTTCACTATTCCTAAAAGGAATTTGTGACTTTGTAGACTTCTTATTGTGGACCCTGGGGTCACTGAGGGGTTTCAAAAGTTTTCTGATCTTTGCCATTTTGAATTACATATTCTAAAATCTCTTTTTTTGATTAAAACATAAATCTAAACCAGTGGGAGACTTTTTTTTTAAAATAGACAATATTTTCTTATTACTATTTCACCCCCAATTTTTAATCTCTCCACTGGCTGGCTCCCCATTTTCTACCATAGAAAGTTCATGGTGCTTGCTGTCACTTTTGAATTCTGCATAACTGGTTATACTTCAAAATTTACACCTTAACAAGATCAACAGGGGAAGTTCAGAATTCTTGGTGCTATTATTTCCAGTCTTTCTGACTCCAGAGCCAAAGAGACATCAGTGCAGAGGATATTCTTCGGGAGGGTAATTTCACAACTAGAAAGGCTATAATATATATTTCCATAAAAAGATAAACCCTGATTTTCAAGCTACTCACACTGGGGACTGCACATAGAAAAGTGCTTAATACTTTTTATGCATGCATGTTTGAAAATCATTCTAAAAAATGTAGGAAAATCCAAGCAAAGATGTTAATTCTGTCATTCCATCTGTTTTTCCATGAATGTGTGGAGGATCAGTGTCCCCGACATTATAGCCAAGAAACCTAAATAAAAGGTTAGAGACAGCAGTTCAAATATAAATACTGTATATAGTTCTAGTTATTGCTAAATTTCCCTGTGCTGTCACAGCCTGCTTGACATTTTGCTTTGATCTTCCAGAGGCAAACCCAAATTGAATTCTACTGTGCTTATAATTGAATTTCAATGACTCATGGCTGGTGACTGCATTGTGGATGGATGTTTACAAGTGTAGGAACTTATGTGGTTGAAATAAGGCTTTGAAGTTGACACTTCTTTAAAATGATGTATAAAAGTTGTACCTCTGTGGGTGCAGTTGTTTCAGTCTATGTAGCTGCAGAAGATTCAATAAACCAGCAGCTGTATATTGATTGATAGAATGAAGATAAGATTATCAAGAATTTTTAAAAAAAACATGAAATCCTAGACTCTGGACATTGTAGATAAATCTGTGGAATATGCACATTTTCCACAAATAAGGATTTGGATTACATCCTAACCTAGGATGTGATATCAAAAGATGCTTTTTATGAACATATGATTCTTTAAGAAGACAGGCATTAATCTAGCTGAGGCTATAGACACACTGTATGACCTTAATCATTCTAAACCTCTTCGAAACCAAAGAACATTTCCTTTGATCGATTTCACACTAGGAGGTATATTGCACTAAATTGAAAGTAGGCAGTCTCCTACGGGACTTTGTGATTGGCAGACATAAAAATCTTGCAATCTGTTTAAACACTGTGTGTGTGTGTGTGTGTCTGTGTGTGCCCGCGTGCGCATATATACATATATTTGACTACTACTCTCCAGACAAATAACTGAAATTCTTGAGGAGATCTCAGAACTATCAGTGTCAGGTAGCGGGGGAAGTAATAATTGCTGCGCCTCTAAATTTATTCTGTGGCCTATATTTACTCTGTGGCCTGTGTTATACAGGAGGTTAGACTAGACAGTCGCAATGATCCTTTCTGGTGTAGGAATCTGTGAAATTTCATCTCTATGCAGAGGGCCCCTGCATTGGGGAAAATTTCATCCATTAAGATCGTCTCTGCCACATCATGCAACGTACATAAGACTCCTCAATAAAAAATAAACGATACATTGCAGATAATAAGGGGAAGTTTAATGATGCAGCTATTGTCTAGTACATCAGCCAATTTCTTGTAGGGAAATTAGGGCTTCTTTAACAATTCTAAGCACTGCACAGTTGATATCAACTCCAATAATCTGCTCTGACTGTACGTATGGAACTCCTATTGCTATTGTGGCAATGCTGTGCATGTACCATAGAGAAAAAAATATCAGGACTGACATCATTAATGCAGAGCCCAGGGGAGAATTTTGTTCTCTGTTAGCAATTTCGGACTTTATTGCAATCACTGGACAGAAATGCACAATAAGTACTGCAATATTAATACAACCATTGACATTAATGGTAGTATGCAGTGTTGCTCCCAGGATATGGGACACACAAGGTGGGTGAAGTAATACCTTTTATTGGACCAACTTCTGTTAGTGAAAGGGACAAGCTTTCGAAGGTCTGAAGAGCTCTGTGTAGCTCAAAAGCTTGTCTCTTTCACCAACAGAAGTTGGTCCAATAAAAGATATCTCACCCACCTTGTCTCTCTCATTAACAGTAGTAGTTTTTTAATAGTAGCAATCTCTTATATCTGATGTCTTTTCATGTAATTTTTTAAAAAAATGAACAAGATGTAAACATTCCCACCATCCCACCACACAAACTACAGAAAATGTTTAACAGGGGAATGATAGGAAATTTTATAAGCTGTAATGTCAATTCTGAATTTATTTTCATAGTGGTAAATTAGGAATTTCAAATACTTGGAAAATCACATTAGCTGACACAGTGCTTGTCTTAGGTACTGACATACAGGTGGTCACCAATTCCCAGGGTCTCCTTAGTGAAAACAGGGATTAATGCTGGTCCACATCTCAGAATCTTGAGGAGGTGCTTAAGGTCCCTTATTTCCTTATTTGAAAAGGACCAATGTGTCTTTGGGTCAGCCCTGAGCTGCCACCTTATATGCAACAGAACCTATGACAGCCCCAACATATTGAACAAATAAAAAAATAAACCCCTATGAAAACTCCATATTTAACCACAAGGATCTCAGATCATTTTTCAGCTCCACAACTTCTGAGCTTGCTCTGTCCAGGCAGGCAGCAGCCATGTAGAATTTTGCTGCTGATAGTTATGGGGGGGGGGGAACTGCCCTTACCTTAGGCTGAAGAGTACGTTGCCATCAGGGTACACTCGGAGCATCACATTCTCCATAGTTGTATCATGGATGAAAGATCTTTTGGAATGGACAAAAAATACATCAGGTACCCAGATCTTTTTGATCAATCTTCCATCAAAGGTCATGCTTCTGTTTTTGGTACTAGGAAATGAAAGTCTCTCATCCTTCCAGTAATGTCTGAGGTATAAGGTCATCGTGAAGTCCTTTGCATAAAGAAAATTAAGAGGAAGAGATGTGTGTGTTTTTTTCCTGGTTCTGAATACAGCAATAACCAGAACAACTAATCAAACCTGATGACTTTGAACTACTTCTGCTCTGGGCTTCAAGACGAGAATCCTCAAACCAGAGCGAGATCACCAAAGCCATGCAGTGAGAGCACAACACAGATGGAAGATATCTTGAGATGTCTGCTGTTTGCCCTGGTTAGGTGGTACTTATAGTCAGCTAACAAAGGGCCTGATTTTGAAGTCCATACTTCTTTCTTACACAAACAAATCTACCACTGATTTCAATGAGCTGTTGGATTGGGCCCAAAATATAAAACAGTCCCCAAAAGAAAATAGCATTTTAGTAAGTAGGATAAAAGCAACTGAAATTACTCTACAGCCCTTCCACTGAACTTTTTGCTGTTTTCTCTTGATGTCACATTAACCCCTCATTTTTGTCATTTGCAGCCAATAAATGAGTTCCTATTATCTAAAATATACAAGAACAAATTCTGATTTCAAGTTACACTCGTGTAAATCTACTGGGTTTACACCAGATTTGTACCATGGTAACTAAAATCAGAATTTGACTCAAAAGTGTAAAATGTAACATATTGGCACCTGGACCCTGAGTAACATATTAGAACTCACAATGAATGAATGGGTTTGTGTGCACATACTATTACAGGTGGGGCTGGCAGCACCATCTATTACTAATGTGGCCCAACATTTTCCATTATAAGAGCCTGTTTTTTTGTGTCCTGTAAATTTGCGAAACTTAAACCATTTGGGCTGAAATTTTTCCAAGTTGGGTCTCTGCCTCAAGATGAATTTTTTTTGGAGAACTTCAGCCAAAATCATTTCCAAGACTAAGGAAAAACATGTTATTTTGCAACATTAATTTTTTTTTGGCAACTTTTTCTTTGAAAAGCTTCAGTACCCCACTTGCTTCGGGGAATTTGAAATTTGGCAAGGGGTGGCCTTTGTGTCATGGATGTGCCTTTGGCCGTTCCTTTAAAAAAATAAATACAGTTGTAGCTTTTCCATAATCTGACTGCTATATGTGCTTTACTGTGCAAGACTAGCCTGATGGCAAAGTTTATTTTCTTGGAATAATTACAGTGAAAAAGGAACGGAGAAGATATTTAGGCTCTGATCCTGTAATGTGATCTACTAGTATGGACCTTTGAGCTCTTGTGGCATCCCACTGGCTTCAGTGGGATTCCGCATGAGAGTAGTGGATCCCATAGCAAGATCAGGGCCTGTGGCCTAAAACTACATTTGAAGTGAGAAATTAATATTGTAAATGTGCTCTTTATTCAGAGTTAACCTGTGTGGGCATTCTAGGATTGAACAACGCAGCAATAATGTAAGTGAAGCTGTGAATATGGCATGAACAGGATGCATTCACAACGTTATGTTCTTGACTAGCAGTAAGAGGTTTTCCCTCTCCAAGACTGTGTGCATAGTAAGGTTTTTGGCAGATTCTTCCATCTCTGCTGTGTCACTATTGCAGCTCAACCAGCACTAGCAATGATGGGAGTGCTAGTGTATTCCAGATACTGGCATCTGCCTACCAGCTAACAGTAGGTGTATATGGCATAGTGGTAAAAATGTGGGTGGCCAGTACACACTTAGACCACTGCTAGCCCCAGTGATGCTGCACCAGTGCTACAGCAATGGAGGGACACAAAGCTCAGTGTAGGCATTGCGTCTTTGAGAGAGAAAACTTCTTAGTGTAAGTCAAGCACATAAAGCCGTGATGCAGAATGAATGGAAGTTGCCTCTGTGTACAGGACCTGCACAAGCTAAGGGCTTGCAGAGTGATTTTCAAAAATGTGTGACACCCAGGAACTCCCTCTCAACTTAACAGGAGCTATGGAGTGCTCAATACTTTTGAAAAATCAGGCCATTAAGCGCTTTGTCCCTGGGCACACAGGAGACATTTAACACATATTCACATGTAACATCTATTAATTTCAATGAAAATTACTTTCATGTATCAAGATGATAATATAATCTTGTAGGATTCTACTTCTTTAACTATATTGGTTCTACATCAGAATCTTGGAGGGTTATTTCTGAAGCCTATGTGATCCCAGAGTTTTGGTTACAATTCTGTCTTCCATCAGTTTAGTAACAGGATTTAAGTGATAAAACTTACCATGTCAACTTCTGAAATGCTGTCAATACTTTCCACCTGCACATCAATGCCCACTGGTATTGGTGACCCTTCAAAATAGCAGAACAAAAAATGTGACCAGAAGTGACAAATGTTTTTAATATACACCTATATGTTAATATAAACCTAAACAACCTGCATTGCTCACTGCCTCTCCACACATGTGCTGCCTTGAATTAATTTTAAAACTGTTGTGTGCACTGAATCCAACCTTAGTAACCAAAAGAGAAAGTCAATGACAATGAAAGAAAACCTGATGTTAAAAATCTGATCAAATAAGCACATGTCCTTCAGTGATCTCTTTGCAACCTAGCACAGGGTATGACTTGGATTTACAGCATGACCCTGAAGTTTGATGAGTGGAAGAAAGTTTTCTTATGATTCTGAAACTAATGAAGCTTACACAACTCATTAGACTGGCCCTGTGGAAAAGTTACATAAATACCAGTATCAAATATACCAATGATTGTAAAGACTATTAGTGAAAACTTTTCGTCCACCTTCTAAAGAAAATTATTTATTATACTTCTAAAGTAACTTTACCAGGTAACTAATAAAAGTTTGTCCTATAATAACTTGAAATGGATATAGGTCCAATAAATGGGAAACCTGCTCACTGACTGCTAAATAAAACCATATTCTAATCTGTTTCTCAGTGCTGGTGCAACTACACTGGTACTAACAACAATGCAACATAAGAATGGCCATACTGGTCAGACCAATTGCCCATCCAATCCAGTATCTTGCCCTCTGACAATGGCCAATGCCAGGTGCTTCAGAGGGAATAAACAGAACAGGTAATTGTCAAGTGATCCATCCCCCTCACTCATTCACAGCTTCTGGCAAACAGAGGCTAGGGACACTTCAGAGCATGCAAGCCTTAAGGTAGGCATAGTTCCCATGTTTTTACCACCACATCATGAAAACCTGCTCACAGAAACATTAACTATTATCAGGGCTGGCTCCAGCGTTTTTGCCGCCCCAAGCAGCGGGGTGGGGTGGGGTGGAGGGAAGCCGCGATCGGCACTTCTACCGCCGCCGCTTCGGCGGCAATTCGGCAGCAGGTCCGGTCCTTCCCTCCGAGGGAGCAGCCGCCGAAGAGCCGGTCCTGCCGCCCCCTTCCATGGGCCGCCCCAAGCACCAGCTTGCTGAGCTGGTGCCTGGAGTCGGCCCTGACTATTATCTGACTACGGAATGGCAGTAAGGCCACTGGCTGTGATGACCAGGGAGAGTATGGGAGAAGATGGATATAGATACAATTTAACTGCTGTAAGATTTTATAAATAAATTAAATTCCTAATCAAGTATTTTGCAAGTCAAAGTTCCCATTCTGCCCACTATTCTGAATTTCAGAGCTCTGGAGAGCACATATAGGTTAAAAATGCATCTACAAAATACAGGCAGAACAGCGAGGTGACTCCCACTGATACATACAGGGTTTTTTTTGGTATTAAAAAATATAAAAAAGTGCAACATTAAGGTTAAAATTAAAACAGGTCAGGAAATGCAGAAGTTAAGGTTCCCAGACCAATGCTAACAGTTACGCTTTACATTTACATGAGTTATCCAGTATATATTTTACAGCGAAGATACCAAGCCTGAAAAAAATTAAGCATGTGCTTTACTTCAAGCACATGAGTAGAGACAGTGACATTAATGGGACTGCAGAAGTCTGACTGAGAGCAGAATTTGGGAGCACCGTAAGTGCAACCTACATCTAAAATAAAATAATGTTAAGTTTGTAGGATTGTGGCTTTGAAGCTAATGGAACTACTCACATGCATAGAGTTATAAACATGCCAAAGCATTTGCAGAATCAGTATCTCAGTCAGTAACATGGAACCAGAGAAACAGGAACAACAGTGTATGCACCTGCAATATGGCTGAGACATTGTTGCTGTCAGAACATTTGGACTAGAGGGGAAAGAAAGAGCTGAGGATGTGGGAGAAAGTCAAAGAGAGCTCAACATGAGAGGAGAGGAAAGAAATTTGCATTTAACAATTATTGACCATAGATGATATTATTTTGAAATCTCTGATGCTTAATAAATTATTTTAAAAATGTAAATAATGTACCTCAATACAGTATGCATTATTTTCATTGCTCTTAACTAATGTATACAAAAAGCGAGAGAGCTATTTTTCTTACATGAAGAGACTTTACATAAAATTAAATGTAATACTTTGTATCTGATCCCTTTAAACCTCTCTCTGCTTCTCCTGCTTCTTGTATGGCAGCTCTCAAGGCTGTAGTCGCTTCTGCAGCTGCTTTGTCTCCAGCCTCAAATGGGCATGTAAATTGGTAAATCTAATTAGCTATGGATTCACTGGCCACTACCTCACCTCTGCACTGGCCTAATCCCACTCTCACTCTGAGCTAGGGCAGATCAAGCACTCACAGAGCTCTAATCCACCGAGTGCAGGAGGTGCAGACTTCTCCACTCACTTTGACCCTAATTTGGCAAAGTACTTAAGCACGTGCCTAACTTTAAACACGTGTTGTCCCTTTAATTTCAATGGAACTGTTCACACGCTTAGAGTTCAGCATGTGCTTAAGTAGCTTGCTGAATTGGGGGCTTTCTATATCCTGTCCCTCCTCTACCATGAAACAAATGCATACTGGTGCTTCTCTGTTCAGGCCTTTCTGGATCTATTAGTTGGGTTGGAGCATTTGTCCCTGTGAGTCAGAGCCAACTTCCACTAAAATCAATGGTAATTAACCACCGGAACAGATTACCAAGGGAGGAGATCCAGTCTCGATGTAAAGAGTCCAAGTGATGGAGAATGTATGTTTTTCTAAAAGAAAGGCTTTAGTTCAACCACAAGTTGTTGAGTCACTGGGTGAAATTCTATGGCCTGTGTTATACAGAAGGTCAGACTGAATGAACATCATAATCCCTTCTGGCTTTATTAATCAATGAAGGAATGGAGAGACGCCTATTGATATAAATGGCACTGGACTGAGTCCTAAGAGAGAAAGAAGAATAAACTACTCTCTCTCTCCCGGAGGTGGAGTTGATCAGGGTTGAGGTACAGAGATGGGACAGTGTAGCGAAAGTTTGTGCTGCTGGTGCCTATGCCACAATGCTGCTATTAATAAATTCAGTCTCTGAGGCTGACAATGAGGCACCAGCACTAATTTCATTTTAAAATAGTATCGAGAGAAAATCTAGGTTTTTAATTTTCCCAGTTTGACAAAATGGGGGGATGGGCAAGAGCATTTTTTCATTAAACTGAGCAGCTCCAGTTGCTGCTAGAGAATTTCCACAAATCATTATTTTAGAGGGATTAGTGATTTTCACAATGAAAGTTCTGCAGATTTTCAAGATAATTACTCCTCAGCAGCAAAACCAAATTATTTTCAGATGGATTTATATTTATGCAACAAGTCCTGCCTTGTGGAATCAGTTTTCCTTCATTTTATTTATTTTAAAAGGTTTAAACCAAGCTAATGTTTCTCTCATGAGTGTGGAGTTTATTTTCATCAGTAGCCTGAGTGAAAGATAATAGCTGCATATGCAAGTTACGTAACTTTTTTTTTAAATGTAGGTCCTCACGAATTCTGCAGCATTTTAGGGTCAATTTATATGGTAGGAATGACAAAATCCTATGACAGACTTTAGAGAATTTTAAGGTATTTTTGTGCAGTTATACCTTTTACCATGTAGCTGCTGTACTGCTCCTGCATTTCCATAGGATACATGTAGAATTTAGGGGACTCAGCTAGTGAATTCCAGAAGCTTTGATCTTTCCACAGTGCTATGATAATCAGATCATTCATTACCCAGGAAAAAATTTAACACTTCCTTTTTTGTTCCAGTTTGGAAAAATTACAATATCCCAACAGTGAATGCATCGCTATTTTGCCAAGCTCCCGCTACTAGATGGAGTATCAAACCTCTTCCAGTTGCATGCAGTTGTAACAGGGTGTGTTGGCTTTTTAAGGAGGCTACAGACCCAGAATAGCTCACCCCCCGAGTTCTTAGACCTGATGGAAGTTGTAGGCTCGGCAACAATGCATACTGGGAAAGGGGCAGGCATATAAAAAAGCTCCTGTTCCCTCTGGCAAGGCAGAGAACAAGGAATAGGTAAGACCTAATGATGCTCTCTCCGGAAAAGGGCCAGAGAAGCTGCCTAGGAGGGAGGTCAGCTGGACAGAAGGGTAAGGAGACCACAGGGAGAAGAAAGTACTGTGGAATTTGTTACAGCTCCCTGGGTTGGATAGAGCTGGGGGGGCAGTAATAAAGGGTATTTTATCCTTGTCCATCTGTTTGTTTGAAGTATTTGAGATGGGATGGTGCCAAAAGTAGCCAAGGCCTAGGATGAAAGTTAGAGGACTATCAGAGTGAAGGAAGAGATCTTGGGCAAGAAGGTCTTGGGCTTGAAATGTTAATTGAGTGCTAGTTTCCTGTCAAAGCTGTATCTTCCAAAAGACGGTGGGAGGAAGCCCTTCACTCCCTCCATCACTAGGGGAAAATTCCTGAGATCTGCAATGGAGGGCTGTGACACAGAGAGGAAAAGATCTAGGTGCTGAATGGCGTGTTGGAGCCCTTTTTTGCAGTGGATTTCCATTGTACTCTTGCTTGCCTTGGAAGAGACGGAGTTGTTCTAATTTAGCTGAAAGAGTAAAGTAAACTACCCAACCAGTAAGATGATCTGTGAGGAAAATGAGACAGAGGCCACACTTGATAACAGAAAGAGGAAAGATAAGCCACCTGCGTACAGAAACTTTTACCTTCTACTGGCTAAATATTACCACACATTACAGTTCAGGTATTTCTTAAGTGTGTGTGTTATTGTGCTCTCTAGGGCTATGTCTACACTACAAAATTAGGTCGGATTTATAGAAGCCGGTTTTATAGAAACCGGTTGTATGCAGCCGATTGTGTGTGTCCCCACATAAAATGCTCTAAGTGCATGAAGTCGGCGGACTGCGTCCACAGTACCGAGGCTAGCGTCGACTTCCGGCGCATTGCACTATGGGTACCTATCCCACAGTTCCCGGAGTCTCCGGCGCCCATTGGAATTATGGGTTGAGATCGCAATGCCC